TATATATACACATACATACACACACACATATACACATATTTATATATGAATTTTGGAAGAGTTGGTTTTTTTTTAGTGAACATGATCTCTCCCTCTACATTAATTCAAAGTTTTCTTTCAATTATATTTTATAATATTAGTGTATAGTCATACATATTTATTAAAATTATCCTTAGATATTTCTTGTTTTTTGATATTGTAAAAGGTACTTTTTTCAAATTTCAATTTATAATTCTTGTGACTACATAGAAATACAATTAGTCTTTATACAGTGACCTTGAATCCCGAGACCTTTCTATATTTACTTAATAGTTCTAGTTTTTGTAGATTCTGAAAATAAGGCAGTTTTGTTCCTTCCTATCCAATCTGTATGCCTTTTATTTTCTTTGCCCTCTTGAATAGATTCCTACCTCTAGTAAAATGATGAGAGATGGTGTTAGTAGGAAAGCATTAAGTCTTTTGCCAGTAAGTATGAGCTTAACTACACAGGCTTTATCAGGTTGGCAAAGTTCCCTTCTAGTCCTTGTGTGCTGAGAATATTTATCATGCATGAGCAGGTGTTGGATTTTGTCAAGTTACTTTTCTGTCTGTACTAATTGTATTTTTTCCTGTTAATATGGTAAAATGTAATCGACTTTTTAATGCATTTCCAGGCTAAACTCCCACTTGCTCATAGGCATTACCCATTTTGTTTTGTTGTATGTGTTCAATGTTTTAAAATTTGGATTTTTGTATCTCTGTTATTTTGTTCTTTGTCTTTCCTCCCCCCCACCCCGCCACAGCACTGGGGATTGTACCCAGGGCCTCAAGACATGCTAGGCAGGTACTACATTCTCAGCCCTTTTTATTTTGAAATTGAGTCTCACCCAGTTGCCCAAGCAACTTGAAATGTTCCTGTCTCAACCTCCCGTGTAGCTGGGATTATAGACATATACCACCACACCTGGCTTGCCTCTTTTTGATACTGGGGTATTGCTGAGGTAAAAAAACAAACCAAAACAAAACTAAATGGGAAGTGTTCCTTCTTCCCTGGCTTTCTGAAGGATTATGTATCAAATTAATACTGTTTTTTTCCTTAACTGTTTAGAACAATTCATCCATTTGCATTAAACAAACAAAAAAAGTAATGGTGGTAAAAGATCAGGTACTGGGGAACCCTTAAGTTTAGAGATTACCTTTATTTTATTTTTTTTCTTTCTGTACTGGGGATTGAACCCATGGCCTCACACATTAGGCAAGCACCCTACCACTGAGCCACATCCCCAGCCTGATTACTTTTTCCTTTAAAATTCAAATAGAATAAATACAATTCAAATAGAATTATTCCACTTATTAACGTTGAAAACAGACAAATCTAAAGTAGCTCAGGATTTCTTTGAGGGCTTATAGTTTTACTGACCCTGTTATATCTAGTGACCCTGGCAAGTTCTCTCTGTTCTGTATGTCTTCAGGTGACCTCTGTCCTTTTTTCATATCAGAACCCAGTATGGACTTGGCCCCATAGTCTTCCATTTCCCCAGCTACCACTAGTACCACTAACACAAGGCTTCTGGAATGGTTAGGACAGCAGCAGGAATTTGTAGAACAACTTACACTTAACTTTTTTTTTTTTTTAAAGTACCAGAGATTGAACCCAGAGTTGCTTAACCACTGAGTCACATCCCCAGCCCTTTATTTTTTATTTTGATACAGGCTCTAAGTTGCTTAGGGCCTCAATTAGTTGCTGAGGCTGCCTAGGAACTTGCCATCCTCCTGAGTTGCTGGGATTTCAGATGTGTGCCACCATGCTTGGCTATACTTTGTTTTGTACAGTTAAAATAAGGAGATGATTAAAGTATGATTTTATGAAACACATTTTATTGCCACACAAAGATTTTTTTTTATGTTTGAGGAGAATAATAATGGAAATAAATTTCACAGAGAATATATTCAATAGGGAAGATACATAAACCACATAGTGTGTAAGTTCCAATTTCATTGGAGTCTAATTATTAAAGTCTACAGTGGCACAATTAGGATGGAAATTAAAAGTTTGATCGTTTCAAGTATCCCTGCGTAAGAGTAGTTCTCAGCAGAGACTAGACATGTGGGCAGTGCTGGTGCTGCCTGGCCAGGCTTTGGGACTTGGCTCAAAGGCTACCTGGACAGCCCTGCCTGGCAGAAGCTCTTGATCTTTGAAGAAGTGGTCAACACAGTGTGGTCTGCCACAACCTAAGCTCTCAAAGTGTTTGCCAAACTCTTGGGTTTAATACGTATTTTGGAGTCTAATGGTTGAAGTCAGAAACTCACATATGGGTTCTGATAAAGCATGATATAACATTCTCATAGCAAAGGGCTTACCCTTCAAGTTGTTATCACAGAAAAAATATGGCATTTGCCAGTAAATGGGTGGAACTGGAGAATAACATACTAAGTGAAATAAGCCAATCCCAAAAAACCAAAGGCCGAATGTTCTCTCTGATATGTGAATGCTGGTCCCTAACAAGGAAAGGTAGGGAGGGGAAATAGAGAAATAGGAAATATGGCAAATTTTGTATTTGGAATCATTTCAAAGCTACATAATTTTTTTTTTACTTTTAAAAAATCTTTATTTATTTTATTCTTATTTGTTGCTTTTAGCTATACATGACAGTAGGATGTATTTTGACATATTATACATACATGGGTTGCAGCCCATTATAATTTTGATCCCATTCTTGTGGTTGAACATAATGTGGAGTTACATTAGTTGTGTATTCAAATATGCACATAGGAAAGTTCTGCCTATTCATTCTACTGTCTTTCCTGACCCCATTTCCCCTTCCTTCTCTTTATTCCCATTTGTCTAATACAATGAATTTCTCTATTTCCCCTCTCTACCTTTCCTTG